GTCAGATTAGTGAGACTAGTTCAATCCAGACAAGTAGTGAAGGAAGTTAGCTGCAACATGGTGTAGGGGGGGGTCAAATTCCATCTACCCAAATTGGGTAACTGCCATTTAGATGCTGAGAGTACTTGGGGAATCTGTTGACAAATCAACCCTATAAAAGAGCCCATGGGTCCATGCCTAGTCTCTAAGAGAATAAACCTAGAGTTTTGTAGTTCTCAGATTCCATGGCTGGTCTGGAATCTCAAACCCTCTAATGGGTTAGCAACTATATTATTGTCTAGGATTTCCAGCCCATCTTTGATATTAGATTCTGTCATCTCAAATAGATTAAATTCTTTGCAATCCTAAAAAAGTCTGGACTTGAATATATAGATAATAAAGCAGATGAAACCAATTATATTAATACCTTTGGTTTTAGCTGAGGATAATAAGTGTATAAATGTGATTTAAAGAATCTTCACATGTTAGATCTTAGCATTTTAAGCTGAAAAGTTTAAGAGAATTTGGTCAGGCCTGTAACGAGTATTGATTGAGATGTTTGGAATATTTAACAAAATTTGTTTTGACATGTTGTAGGGTATTTTTTGTTTGTTTGTTTGTTAGATTTGCTTATAAATCTGCCTACCCTGTCAAGCATTTAAGGTGGTTAAAGAACAGTCACATGAATATACATAACATAAAATAATAAAAGTAGTGTAATCAAATTTGTGAATAGGATTTTTTTTTTAAGATTTTATTTATTTATTTGACACAGACAGAGAGATCACTAGTAGGCAGAGAAGCAGGCAGAGAGAGGGGGACCCCGCCGAGCAGGGAGCCTGACTCAGGGCTCGATCCCAGGCCCTGGGACCATGACCCTAGCCAAAGGCAGAGGCTTAACCCACTGAGCCACCCAGGCGCTCCCATGAATAGGAGTTTTTAAGTTTAATTGCTGTTTTGGGTTACTCTAGTATTTTTTTTAAGATTTTATTTATTTATTTGACAGAGAGAGAGATCACAAGTAAGCAGAAAGGCAGGCAGAGAGAGAGGGGGAAGCAGGCTCCCCATTGAGCAGAGAGCCTGACGTGGGGCTCGATCCCAGGACCCTGAGACTATGACCTGAGCCAAAGGCAGAGGCTTTAACCCACTGAGCAGCCCAGGCACCCTGGGTTACTCTAATATTAAAAAGCAAGTGAAAGTGGTTGCTCTTATTTAATACAAAATTAGACTTATAAATCATAAAATAATTTTGAAGTTTGAAACAAAGGCTTAAAAGTTTGCTGCTTAAATTTGATCTTTAATAAATTGAAAAATTTAAAATCTAAAATACTATAAATAGCAGTTAATAACAAAAAGTACCCCAACCCCATTTAAAAACCTATGTAGTATTTTCTTGTACATGGATTGTCTTTCTGGCCGGAATGTAAGCTTTTTGAACAAAGGTATATAGATATGTATGTAAATATATAATCTCCATTATGTTGGTCACAATGCTATGCATCTAGTAGTTGATCAGTAAATATTAGGAAGAATGAATGATTAATTAGCAGATTCAGTATTTATTTCTCATGAAATTTCTTAAAACCAGCCTTATCATCACCACCACAGGCTACTTCTTGTGGGGCATCCTGACTGAGAGGGGGCCACTGCGAAAGAATTCACCCAGGGCAGAACAAAAGAGAAGTTTATTGACTATATTGCAAGGGAGACTGTCTACCACAAAATGGTGGTGAGGTACCACAGTTACAGGGCAGAATGAGAGAGTATGGGATGTATGGAACTTTCCCCTTTTGGTAACTGCCCGGTTGTAACTAGCCCATTGGTTAGTTAGGACCTACAGCGATTTCGAGGTGAGTGTCTTAATGAGCCTGTGTGTCACCGGGGTGGTCACTGTGAGTCATTTTGCCTTGCTCCTGTTTCAATTGCTCAAGCCTGTTGCCTCCCAGTGGCCTCTGCACTTCTCAGTAAAATACAGTAAGAATTAGTGAATGTCGTAACTATGACAATAGACTAAGAGATGTCTGTAGTTCCAATTGAGATGTGTCAATGGCCTCCATCCAAAGACAATAATAAATAACAAACCTTCTGTAGTTGAACAAGTGGGATTTATACTTTTGCAGTGAGGGAGAACCCACATTATGGGGAGTCGTGAGCCATGAAGTGTCTCACTATGAGGGTGTTTCTCTTACTGAGACACTTCATGACTATGAATTTAATTTCAGAATTTGGGCTTTGGTTTGTTTTGGGGGAGGGGCTAAGAAAATGGGAATTTGTGTTAGATTAGATATGGTGAGGGAATTCAGTCAGTTGTGTAATTGGGTGTGTCACATCTTTCGGGAGGACTGACTAGAACATGGATAAAGCTGTAATTGGTAAAGAGGTAGCAGTCATTCCTTCCTGCCAAGAGAGGTGGTCTTTGTGGGGTGGTTCAGACAAATGAAGAAATGGTTTTGCTTTCTCATTTTATCAGTCTGAGTAATCTTGTCTGAGGTTAGTAGTCTATGAGATTGTTTATGTCCAACAGGAGAATAATAATGGCCTGGCTAGAAGTATCAGGCCTGCTTTCAACGATTGGGCAATTTTTTGTTGTTGTTTTTTTTCCCCTTTCTTAGGTACTAGTAGAGGAGTGAGAGAAAAGTAAATGAATTCAAGAAGTATTTAGCATGCAAAGTGGATAGGACTGGATATGGGGGCAGAAGGTGATGTGTCAAGGGTGATTTCTAGCTTTCTGCCCTGCAAACAGAAAGGGTTGCAGTGCTAATCACCAAGATAGTATCAGCTTTGTGTTATCTTCTAATTTAATATTTACCAAAAATATGTGAAAAGTTCGTATTATCATATCCATGTAGAGATCGGAAATGAAGGCTGTAGAGAGGTTAATTATATCTTGCACACTGTCATGGAGAAATAGAATTCAAATTCAGGGTTGTTTGACTCAAGTCATATTGACTTGTCTTCAAAATCAAGATAAAATTCTCATAACATAAAATTTATATTTATAAATCCATTTATACATTCAGACACAGCCCTAAAATATACAAGTTTGTGGGTTTTAGTACATTCAGAATGTTTTGTAACCATCACCATTATTGAATTGTAGGCCATTTTCATTACCCTCAAAAGAAACTCTATATGCATTCATTCCCATGCCCTTTTCCCTCTTACCCCTTGCAACCACTAATCTTTTTGTCTCTGTGGGGGTTACATGTTCTGGAGATTTCATGAGTGGAATAAAAAAATATATGGCATTTTGTGTCTGGCTTTCTTTCCATTGGCGCAATGTTTCCAAGATCTATCCACATTGTAGCGTGTCCCTACTTCATTCCTTTTTATGACTGAATAAAATACTGTTGTATGGATATCACACAATTATTTATCCACATATCACTTGATGGACATTGAATGTTTCCTTTTATTTTTTTTTTTTTTTGCCTATTACGAATACTCCTGCTATAAATACTCACAGATGAGTTTTTATTTCAATGCATGCTTTTAATTTCTTGGATTTATACCTAGAAGTGGAATTGCTGGGTGATACAGTAATTCTGTGGTTCAGCTTTTGAGGAACCACCAAGCTGTTTTTCATAGTAGCTGCACAATTTTATATGTCCACCGTTTAATAATATGGAAGGTTTCAGTTTCTCCATCCTTAGCAACATTGTAATGGTTTTTAATGTTGTTGATAGCCATGCTGTAATAGCATGAGTGGTATCTCATTGTGGCTTTGATTTGCATTTTCCTAAAGACTAAGGATGTTGAGTACCTTTCATGCGCTTATTAGCCATGCGGGTAGCTTCTTTGGAGGAAGGTCTATTCAGGTCTTTTTGCCATTTTTAAATTTGTTTGTTTTTTGTTTTGAGTTGTAAGAGTTCTTGGTATATTCTGTCTACTAAAGTCTTACCAGGGGGTGCCTGGGTGGCTCAGTTGTTAAGCTTCTGCTTTTGGCTCAGGTCATGATCCCAGGGTTCTGGGACCGAGCCCCAAGTCGGGTTCCCCGCTCAGTGGGAAGCCTGCTTCTCCCTCTCCCACTCCCCCTGCTTGTGGTCCCTCTCTTACTGTGTCTATCGCTGTCAAATAAATAAATAAAATCCTTAAAAAAAATATTTAAAAAAAAGTCTTACCAGGTATATTATTTGCAAATATTTTCTCCCATTTTGCAAGTTTTCTTTTTGCTTCCTTGCCTGTCTTTTGATGCACAAAAGCTTTCAATTTTAAAGAAGTCCAATTTCTCTATTCCTTCTGTTGCTTGTGCTTTTGGTGTCATTTAAGGGACTTGGCCATATCCAAGGTCATGAAGATTTCCACCTGTGTTTTCTTCTAAGGGTTTTATAATTTTAGTTCTTGCATGAAGGTATTTGATAAATTTTGAGTTAACTTTTGTATATAGTATATGGTAAGAGATCCAAATTCATTCTTTCACATAGAGATATCCTGTTGTCCCATCACAGTTTGTTGCAAAGGGTTATTCTTTCTCCTATTGATTGGTCCTGACACCCATTCGTATTTGTAAAACAACACAGTTGTGCATTCAACTTGTCTTGCAGATCTATTTATCTGCATTGCAAGGGTTGCTAGGTAATAATTGCTCAGTGATATGGTTATTTTGAATAATTTTCTCATAGTCAAGGAGAGTTGTTACAGCGGTATTCTCTGCCATGTTGCTCCCTATGTTTTGCAGGAGAAAACACTTTGTAATGAATGCTCTGTTATCCTTCTTTTCCAAATGTTATTTTCTTTTTACTACACTCTCCTACATAATGAGCATTTCTTTGAGAGGAGCATTGGATACATACAAAAAGTCAGAAACGTTGGCCTGGTTGACTTTGTTCAAGAGACCCACTGAGAGGACAGGTTTTTCTCAACACTGAATGATGCAGCAACTCCTTTCCAAGTGTTACCTAATTAAATGTGAAATTTGTGGTTGTGGTTTCTGACATATGGACTTCTTTAAAAGGATCTGTGTTTCCAGCTGTGTTACTTGGCATCGGCTAACTTTTACAGTGTCTTCTTCACAGTCCTCATTCACTTTAAGATCTTTTATTATAAAATAGCCTGAAGGCGATCATGCATATTTCATACCAAGAGAAAGAATTGTTCTATGTACAAACATAAAAACATACCTGAGACAATGAAAACATACAGTACATAGTTAGATATTAATGCCCTGGGAAGATGTTTGGGGGTTACAACCCAGATCCTTCCATTAGGAGGTTCTATATAGATCATGGACTGGTGTGAGTTTGTTCACTTGAAAATGAACCCCAAAGGAAAAGAGTAGAAAAATCTATCACCAATATCATTGAAAATTCCGTATGAATCAGATAATAAAGGATACATATTATAAACGTTTGATCTTCTCACCATGGTTTTACAGGTTTACCTTTTGTTTCCTCCCTGCCAGAGTCCTAGAACATACTTTAGGTGCTTCCTGCAATTCTGTCATTTCCCAGTAGGGGGCGTTATTGCATTAAAAGCTGCGCCAGTTGCAGCATTACCCAGGTGGGCCTGTGTTCCTTCTGTACGTTAAAGACCGGGTTTTGTTTTGTTTTGCTTTTAACAAAGTCCTGTATATGAATATTTTCTCTCTAAACTCTTAAGGAAATGAGAGTTGAAGAAAAACAAAATGCTTGCAAGATTGTCTTTTTACCCACTGTCTTCAGAGATGGTTCATCCTAAGTGACATTTCTTGAGAGGATGATATCAAAGTCCCAAAGTACGAAATGCATCTCGTAAGTCATCAACCTCATACAGGGGCTGTAAAGAAAGAAATGAACTGAGTGGATGCATTTGTAACATTGTGGAAGGAAGGAAGTTGGGGGGAGTAGGAAGAGGACAGGAAGGAATTATACCAGAAGGAAAACAGAATCCTGAGGAGAGTCCAACAGAGAGACTTGTGGGTGATGAAAAGAGGGAAAGGGAAGGGCATCTCGGCAGAGGGCTCTGAATTGTGAAACAGAAGGGCAAACTCAAATGTAGGAGAAGTAACTAAACATAAAGTAAGGTTTTCATCAGAGGAGAAATGGAGAGTGATACCTGCACACACATGCACTGTAATGTAAAAAACGTAAGAAAAGGAAATATAAGGATCTCCAGGAAAAGATGACTTCGGAGGGAGAAAGAAAATGAGAAACGAAGAAGCCCCTTACCAACAGAATGCGTCGAAGCTGTCTGGATAGTCGGACGGAATTTTCGTGCAACCCCTCCCAGGCTTTGAAAGTTTTTTCACGATTTTCCACAAAAGTATTCCAGCAATAAAAATAATCTTTAAAAAAGGAGGGGAATGGGGCAGATAGTTCAGATCCCAAATGGAGAGGAAAGAAAGAAAACCCTGCCCCCCCCCCCACCTTAAATCTCATTTCCCACAAAGTCGAGCGTCCATGCCCTTAATTTTCTTCCTCCTATTCTAGTCAGTTTGGGGCTGAATCCCATCCCCCACCCTGCCCCTCCGATTTTTCTCCTGAATTGCAGTCCCGACCAGATCCCCTTCGCACCTTTGAAGGTCATGATGGCTATCTGGACCCCCGCGCGGTGCAGCCGCCGCAGCCCCTCGGGCTCAGCCTTGCGGTCCTCGCAGAAGTAGAGGCGCGCGGTGAAGATCCTCAGGCTGAGGTTGGGGTACCCTCTCAGAAAGTCGGCCACGTGCCGAGCGCAGTCGTAGCAGGGGCTCCAGGAGGTGAACCAGGTGACGCGGTAGCACCGGCCAGGGTCCAGGTCCCAGTCGGAGATGTAGCGGAGGAAGAGCAGCTCCACGTGGCAGCCCGACTGAGGACAGAGCAGGGGACTTGCGTGAGTGATGTTTAGTGACCTTTCCTGCGGCGCTGGAAGCTTTACGGCCACGAATTCATCTGCCTGCCACAGTCACCATTTTTAGGGTGTCTGCATTTGGGCCTTAGGGTTACAGTAAGGCTGTGGGTTTTCGACTTTCGACAGAAAGTCGAACAGAAAAGCAGGAGGATGCGCTGGGTCGGCTGAAGTAGCATCAGGGTACCCCAGAGCTCTCAGTTGTGTCTGTTGCTGTAACATTTAGGAAATACACCAGACCACTAGGGGGCGGTAGGAAGCGTGGTTGAGGACTAGAAGGGGTAGAGGCCAACAGGGGTGTTGAAGGAGAGGTCACAGGACTGCTGTGGGTTCAGAACAATGAAATAATGTGTTTGCTCATCGTATGATCCCAGTGATTGTAATAATCTCACAACAGTGAGATATAGCAAGTCTGCCTAGTATGGCAGAGAAGTCATTAGTCCCAGATCTGAAGATCTAGGTTCCATTTCCTGGTGCCATCACTGAGGTGACTGGGACAACTCACCCAACTCTTGGCTCTTCTAAGTCCTCACCAGTAAAATGGGCTTGTATCGATTGCGAGGATTAAATGAGAAGGAAATGAAGGGTTGGTAACTGCAAAGCCTTCTCTACTTAGATGTGTCTCATCACCAAACAGGAAAGAGATTAGAATGTAAAACAATTGCAGTGAGATAATTTACACAAGACAAATGGAGGCAAAGGAAATTGAATAGTAAAATAAACACTTAACAGTGAGCCAGACAATGTCGGTCCACCTGTGGATTATGGATTCTTCCCTGGGATCCCACCAAAATCAGATGTTGCTGCCTGTTTTGAGACAGGGAATACTCATTGGCAGAAGTTTACGTAAGCCCATCTGGATATGGTGAAGTCGCTTGAAAATGTAATTCTCTGATCTTCCAGATGCAATCTAGAGATTGATTGAATCAGTCAACCAATTGAGGCTTCCCCGAGTATTCTGGGTCTCACCATACTGAATGTACTCATCGGCCTGTGACATATGTGAGCAGGAGGGACTAGAAATCATTTGGAAAACAGAATCGAGTTATTATTTTTTGCTACTTTTTCCTTAACTTTCAAAAATTCTAAAAATTTGTTTTTTATTTAAATTTAGCTTGAATGAGCTGATAATATTCTTCCAAATCAAAATTTGGATTTCTTCCTTAATCTCAAAGGCAGTTACTCTTGGCATTGAAGCAAGGGGTGGCAGTAATGTGCCCAGCATGATCAGGGAGGACATGAAGTGGCATGCTGTGGGGGCATACTTATTGTGGTTTCCTGGACAGAAAGAATAAGATTTCTGAAATCTGGTGGAGACCTAAGTGTGAAACTGGCTGAAAGTAGTACTCTCTGTAGATGGTTCTAAAAGTGCCTGCACTCTAGCTTGGAAGCAATTAACTGATACCTTGTTTCGAAGGTGACCAAAGTCCAGTGAAAAGGAGGTGGCGCTATCCCGTCGCTTCACCACGTAGCACAAGTAGGTTTCATGGCGACCCTTAGCCCAGCGGACATTCTTGAAATGGTAAAGAAATTTCCTCTGCTTCATCAGGAGGCTGTGGGTGAGGAGAGGGAGGAACTTTCAGGAGCACCACTCACTCTCCGCTCACTCCTGGCTTTCCTCCAGCTTTTTAAAAAATCTGTAATGATTTGAGCCACACCAGAGAAGATCCTCTTCCTTACTTTGCTGGATGCCTGAGACCTGCTGAACTTGGAACCCATTATAAACCCCTCTTCATGCTTATATTTAAGACCAGTTGAGGGCGCCTAGGTGGCTCAGTTGGTTAAGTGTCTGCCTTCCGCTCAGGTCATGATCCCAGTATCCTGGGATCAAGTCCCACATTGGGTCTTTGTTCAGTCGGGAAACTGCTTCTCCCTCTGACTTCCACTCCCCCTGCTTGTGCTCTCTCCCTCTCTGACAAATAAATAAAATCTTAAAAAAAAAAAATCGAGACATAGCCAGAATCCCCAAATGGTATGACGTCATAGGATAGTCTCCTCCCATAGCTGTCTGTTACATGCTGACAACTTGGACTTAAAAACTTGTTCCTTGGTTCCATAATTTTTTCAAAGTTCCCCTCCAAACTCTACCTAAATGTCCAGTATGTACTTCAAACCCAACATGGTCGAAACAGTAATTCCTAAACTGTCCTCTGTCCTGACTATCCTGTCTCTTTACTTTTCCATCTCAAATAATCAGGTGAAAAGCTTGGGCTTATCTTTGATTCTTCTCCTCCATATTTAATGGTCTAAATTTATTTATTCAAATCTCAATTTTTTTTTTAGTATTTTTATTTTCTAAACCTCCAAATATTTCTGGTTCATATCTATATTATTCCCTTGGTTCACTGCTTCAGTCTAAGCCCTCAATCTTCTTTAGGTTTATCTCTTGTCCTGGCTTTCTAAGCTGGTCTGGTTCCCCCCACCCAGTCCCTCCAAAAGAACATTCTTCGTACTGTGCCAGAGAGATCTCACAAAGACCCAGGTGTGACCATGTCATTTCTATGCCGAAAAATTCCCAGTGAATCTCTTGTGCCTACAGGATAAATCCCAAACTCTAAGGTGGTATTTAGGCCAGTTTTTACATTTGATCATCAAATCGACATTTCTTGCTTCCTTTCCTGCTACTTTTCCCCCTTTCTTTCCCTATCTTCAAGTGCCTATGCAGCTGATGCCTTGACACTAGTGTCTGATCCTGTGGTTTTTTTTCTTTCCGGTCACCTAGCTGATGCACTTCCTCTCAGTGAATGCTTTCCTACCTTTTTCATTGGACAAAACTTACATATCCTTCAAATCCAGTTCACAATTCAACTGCTCTTTCTCACCACTGCTATAGCAAAATTTCTAGGCAAAAAACTGAACACTGACAGCAACAAAAACCCCTCCTGTAGCTTCATTCTCCAGTTTACCTAGTTTATCCCTGTGAAAGCTCTCATCATCTGTTACCAATTGATTACTGACATCTCTGTTTTCCCAATTGGATTTTCTGTGTTTTGAGGCAGAAAGTATCACTTTATGAGAAAAGAAGATAAAATAAATTTTTTTAAATTTAAATTTTAAAAATGTAATGATTTACAGTGTCTAATGATAATTCAATGTAGTATCTAATGACAATTATGTTAAAATTTTTTCTAGTCTTTTTATAGGCATGTTTACACGATTTTGATTATACTGATCTCATGCAGTTTTGCATCCTGCTGCTTTTTTAACTCGGCAACATAATCCATTACTTGTGTCGCCCACATGTGGGGACTGGTTGCTCTAATTTCCTTATGCCTAGCAGTGTTTTGCTTGTCGTAAGCACTAAATTGAATTGAATTTGTGGAAATACTCTCAGCTAGCCAAAGTTTCTTTGTAGCTGTGGACATAACACAAGCTATACAATGTGGTTGATACCAAAGCACTAGTGATGTCTCTCTAGTTTTTGTCCCTAGTCTTTTCCAGAAATGTATTACCAAGTTGTGGAGATAATGCTGCCACCTAATGGCATTGAGCAGAAGTGCAGTAAACTCTTGAAACAAGCAAAGACCTAGGCGAGGATTTGAATACGGTTTGCTGGCAAGAGAATTGAAACTTTTTTGCCTTCATTTTTTTTTTTTTATACATTGAGGTATAATTTACATACTTCACCCATTTAAAATGTGCAGTTTTATGAGTACTGGTGAATGTAAACACCCAAAACTGGAACCACAATTGGGACACAGAACATTTCCAGGGCACCCCTCCCCAAAATTTGCTTATTTCACCTTTTCAGTCAGTTCTTCCCCCCCTCCCTACACAACCACTAATCTTCTTTCTGTAACTACATTACTCTCCACTTCCTAGAATTCCATATAAATCCTACATTATCTCTTCCTTTGTGTCCAGCTTCTGGCACCTAGCATAATGAATTCGAAATTCATTGGTTGTGTTGCATGTATCAGTAATTTGATCCTTTTTACTGCCAAGTAATATTCTATTGCATGGCCATAGCTCATTTACCCATCTGCCTGTAGATGGGCGTTTGGATTGTTTCCACTCTGGGGCTGTTGTGAAGAAAGCTTCTACAAAACACGTACCAGTCTTTGGGGGAGGACAGACGTTGAGAATTAATTTTAAAGCAATACATGTGATAGACCGTGAAGTTAAAAGTTAAATACCCAAGTGTCAACCTGATGAGTTAGGTAAGCAGGAACACACTTTTTATAGCTGTCTCAATTTAAATGTCGCGCTTCACACACAGGACGCTTACTGAAATACACTTTAAATCCTGGGGCAGGGAACTAGATTAATCACCAGTGTACACATTATACCAAACAATATGAAAATTGTTTAATCATATTGTTTTGGAATTCAGTTGGCAGGAATCTGACATGAATGCTAACAAAGATCTAATAATTGCTGTCTTTATTTTAAAATGATAATGTTGCTTTTGGGCAGCACATGTGCTAAAATTGGAATGATACAGAGAAGATTCGCACAGCCCCTGCGAAAATGACATGCAGATTCATGAAGAGTTCCATATTTTTTTACCAAGATCATGAGTTTTGATGGGGAAAACATGCCAAGTTCTCATATACCAAAAAATAAAATAAAATAATTGTATATTAATTATCATAGCACTTACCACCATTACTGTTACTGTCAGGACATAATTTGCATATAATCATTAGCATAAATTGAATACATCATAAGTGCTTAATCAGTACTGAAGTAAAAGGGGAAAAAAATCTCTAGGGGCTTGGTTTTAAACAGATTAAGCATCATTCCTTACTGATAAATTTCTTTAAACAGTTAATCTACCCTTCTGGGCTGTATGTCTGAGAAAAGGGTGGAGGGTACTGTGTCAGGCAAAGCGGGTGTTTTGGGGGCATCTGCTGTTGGGAGAAAGCAAAGGTGTTCTGGGAATATAGGAAAGGACATGGCACAGCTAAGGGAATTCAGATGGACTTTGGCTTTCCGCTCACACAAAAATCCGTCTTTACTGTTTCTTTCAGAAGTGACCAGTCACAGGGAAGCAAATTGCCTACGACCTTTTAATTAACTTTCTTGGTCCCTCACTTTCCTTCAGCTGTAGCTAGGAGCCCGTTTCAAGGACCTTGCTCTCTTAGTTTCTCTTCTGGGTACAAAGGACTTTGTAGGGGCAGTTTTTCGAGCTCACAGTTTGACAGCTGCTCTAGACAGCTGTGCTCCCTGAGGCAGAACCTGCTGCATCCCCAGCAATGCAAACTGGAGACAAATGGGTTAAAAATAATCGTGACCAAGTCCTCTCCTGTCCTGTGCCATCACTGATGCCCTCTGCAGATATTCTTTTCCCTAATGATAATTACATATTTCCCTTTTTCTCCTGTTGAATTTCATCTTTTCTCCTTGTTGCCTTTGAATTCCAACTATTAATCATCACCTAGCATTTCATGTACAAATATTTTCACTGAACCCTTTACCTCTGACTTACACCTCAGATTAATTTTCGATCTCATTGCAAGCTGAGCAGACAGTTGACATTTTTGCCCTCAAGAAAATTTTCTGAAGAACATTAGTCTTCCATTAAAAATCTTAATTCTGGGGACACCTGGCTGACTCGGTGGAGCGTGCGACCCTCGATCTCGGGTTTGTGAGTTCAAGCCCCACGCTGGGTGTGCAGATAGATTACTTAAAAATACAATCTTTAAAAAAATTTAAAGAAATAAAAATCTTAATTCTGTAGTGCAAATTCTTTATAAAAGTTAAATTGAGGTAAAGTTTATGGATTAAGTATTCTCATATTTTTAGTAATCATAAAACTAGGAATAAAATAAGTTGTGATAATAACTTGTCATAAACTGCATGTGAAAACATTGTGTAAATCTTATTAAATACATTTTAAGAGGGGCACCTGGGTGGCTCAGTGGGTTAAGCCACTGCCTTTGGCTCAGGTCATGATCTCAGGGACCTGGGATCGAGTCCCCCATCGGGCTCTCTGCTCAGCAGGGAGCCTGCTTCCCTCTCTCTCTCTCTCTCTGCCTGCCTCTCCGTCTACTTGTGATCTCTCTCTATCAAATAAATAAATAAAATCTTTTTTAAAAAAATTAAAAAAATACATTTTAAGAAATATGTTAAGCGGGGTCTGAAGAAATTGAAAGACTAGGTAGATAGTAAAAATGCCATTAACAGCCCAGTAATTGGAACTATAACATTAAATAACTTGACTGATTTTTTTCTTCCCAGAATAGATATATACCATCATAGTGACCTTCAAGCAATTTTTAATATTGGCACTAAAAAATAATTTCCTTACTATGTAGCTGAATTATTCAGTATGTAGCTAAATTATTCAATAAAGGCTCCCCAGGAAGGTTTACAAAGTCGTTTTGCAGTTCAATATTTACAAAATTATTATTACAGTTTGTGCTACTGTTCTTAGTATACTGTATTCTTGTTATTACCTTTCCATGATTTGGATGTCTAAACACTTGCTATGTTAATATTACCATAAACTAGTTCCAACTGCAGTACGTGGCCATACGTGGCGCATGACAGTTGAGTGTGGAAGAGAGAACAGAGAATTAGGCAGAGAGCATGTAAGATCTGAACAGATGAGACAGCGCCTGAAAAAATAAATGCACATATTGACCAAGCAGTGAGTCAGATAGTGAGAGGAGAGAAGGGGATAGTTACCGATCTGAAAACTCAGATTTACTCTGAGAGAAAAGCCATGGCAACCACCCATGAAGAGACTGCTTTACCTGTCCATAGTGGATTCCATAGTGTCTTTCTTAGTCTTAGGCATGGAAAGGCTTGCCTCAAGTCCTGCTGCTTCACTGACTCTGTCTGGTGAGGCATTGGCCCCACACATTCAAATTTGAGCTTATCCTCTTAGGCTCCTCCTCCCAGGCATCATCACTACCAGGTACCCAACAGCCTTCCTCCTGTTTGGGTCCAAAAATGGTAGGTGGGGCTGTCAGAGGCAGAGTCACGTGGGTACATGATCAAGGGCTTCTCTACTTAGTGTATAGGCTCCTATAGGGCTACAGCTCTAAAAATCCAGTCTAGACTCCACAGGTCACAAAGATCAGGAGCTAGTAGCTGTAGACACTTCAGAAATTGTATACCTAGTGACAAATAGTATCTTTAATTCTTTTTTTTTTTTTTTAAGATTTTTTTGTCAAAAAGAGAGTACAAACAGGTGGAGTGGCAGGCAGAGGGAGAAACAGACTCCCTGCCCAGCAGAGAGCCCTATTCGGGACTCGATCCCAGGACTCTGGGATCATGACCTGAGCAGAAGGCAGATGCTTAGCTGACTGAGCCACCCAGGCGCCCCGCATCTTTAATTTTAAAAGCATAATAATAATAATGTTAATTTAAATGGCATCTTACACTCTGTTAGCTGGAAGTATCTATTCCCTTCCTTAATGTGCACACTGTCTCTCAGTCCCAAAGACCAGCAATAAGAGCTCCTGCTTTGCGGCCAAGCAGGTAAAGTCAAATGAATTATATAGGACTTTGGAATAGAAATTTTGCCTCCTAAACTAATGATTTTTTTCTCTTTCTGATTGCACTACAAGAATGACTAGAAGACTAGATGATTGGTTGCACAAGAGTAATTTTTGCAAAAGCAGTCTTTTCCACAAAAGCCATATATTTTGAATTCAGAAGCAGCGGCCTCCCCAACCATTAAAAATGTTTATTTCATCAGAGAGAACCAGCATCTAAATGACTGCATTAAACTTGGAATGCAGGTTGAACTTTTCGAATAAAAGGCTTTAAATTTCTGCCCTTATACGATTTGGTCTATTAAAGATTTTGCTTCTCTCTCCTACTTCAGTCTGTATGCATTCTATTTCTTCACTCAATAGAAACTTAAAACCTAACTACATGATAGAAGCTGGGTGCTGGGGATGCAGTAGTGAGGAAAGCATCAAAGGTCTGTGCTCCCTTCTTGCCTCAAGGCTCTAAGTACCATCTACACATTGATTCCCAAATCTCTGGCTCCAGCTTGGAGCATTCCTTGAGCTCAGGACAACTGCAAACCGCTTCTGCCTCAGCATCTTCATTTGAATATCTGATGGACATCTTGAACGTGCCACAAACTGAGCACCTGTTCTCTCTCCATACACCTGTTCCTTTTGCCATCTTTCCTATCTCAGTGGTGACGTCATCCCTCCCATGGCTCAGACCAACCTGGCAGTCTTCCTTAATGGCTCTCTTCCTTTTAAGGTCCAATCCATTAGTAAATCCTGTCAACTCTACTTGAGAATAAATCCAGGACTGACCACTTTTCAGCACCTCCAGGTTCGAGCAACCTGGATCGCTACATTTAGTCTCCCAATTGGTCTTCCTGCTTCACTCTCCTTAAATTAGAGTCTGTTCTCCACACAGGAGTCAGAGTAGTGCTTTCGGAAACTTTTTTTTTTTTAAGATTTTATTTATTTGAGAGAGGAGGGAGGGAGGGACAGAGGGAGAAGGAGAAGCAGACTTCCTGCTGAGCAGGGAGCCAGATGTGGGGTTTGATCCCAGAACCCCAGGAATATGACCTGAGCCGAAGGCAGATGCTCAATGGACTGAGCCACCCAGGCATGCCATTGAAACACTTTAGATCATGTCAGTCCTCTGTGAATACTATCCAGGTCTCCCCATTCTCTCAGTAATAGCCAACATCCTTATATGATTCACAAGACCCTCTACCATCTGCCCCTGCTTTACCTCTAAATTTTACCTTGAGGGCCACCTGGCTGGCTCAGTTGGTAGAGCTTGCCATTCTTCATCTAGGGGTTATAAGTTTGAGCCCCACGTTGGGTATAGAGATTACTTTAAAAAATAAAATCTTAAAAAAATGATCACCTAAGTCTAAAAAAATGATCACATAAGTCTAAACCATAGAAGTTTAGCCTTTCCAATTTGGCCTACTCCTCCCTTCTTTACTCTTTCAAATCTTGGACATTAAGGGAAATTTCTGAAGTGGGGTAATGTATAGAATAGCTAGTACTTCTGAGTGCTTATTATGGTTAGACATTGTACTAAGCACGTTAAAGACAAAGTAAATGTATTTAGGAAAACTGTGGTGGGGACAAATCTCTTGCATGCTCCTGAGTTGTACTCCTGGTCACTGATTTGATGGATTGCAAATTCTACTTTGCTTCCCCGGTGGGTACCCAGACAAGGATGGCCTGATGCCAGTTCACACTCAAGGATCTCTAAGGTGGGCGTGGATTTAATGTGGAGAAGCCTCACTTCGCTTTACAAGGCTCTCTCTCACTCGCCTCCGACAAACCACACCACATACGAAGTACAGCAGATTTCACTGAAGTGTTGGCAAAATCCAAAGGAGTAATACATGTGAAAGAAGTATTGAATTAATAGGCTAATTTTGGCTCTTTATAGTTTCGGAAAGAATTTCCAGAGAATTATGCTGTGCACAGGACTCTGCTCAAGACCCCATTTCTGCCCTCCAGGCTACTCCTCTCGGTCAAAAAGCCTCTTTTTCTCACTTCCACAGGGAAACTCGACCTTGGGTTCTTCTGGATTATTCTCACACCCAGATCCTTTTCCTGTGTAGACATTTATTTCTCCAAGTCTTTATTTCTGAAAAAGATTCTGAGGGCACCAGAAAGAGGAGAGCCAGTTATCTTTGGCACTCTGAATTCCATGGAACGGATGGGAAAAAGGGGAAGGGCACTTCACATATTCCTCAGTGGAGACCAGAGTGGGCAGGGCCACAGGCATTCTGATCCCTTTAAATTGTCTCCTCAGAAAAGAGCTGGGTCTTTACCATATTTTCATCCAATTGTCCAGAGAATTGCACACCCACCCACACATATATACACATCCTCCTAAAAGATAAATATTAATTTTAGAGATGGTAGTATCTCCAAATCCAAAAATTAGAAATTCCCCCATGGCCCAAATGATATTGCTGCTGTACTTTTCATGATTATGCCAAGCTATATTAGTTCCCTTTATGTATTCTCTCATCAAATTATTCCCCTTTATTCCAGCCAGAAATAAGAAAACTGGCCCATTGCTGACCCACATGCCTCTTTGTTGGTTTTGGTTTCACTTGTTTTCATTTTGCGCAATTCTGATCATTTCTAAGTCTATAATTCAGTGGCATTAATTATATTCACAAGGTTGTGCCACCATCACCACTGTTTCCAAAACATTCTCATCACCCCATAAAGAAACTTCATAACCAGGGGCGCCTGGGTGGCTCAGTGGGTTAAGCTGCTGCCTTCAGCTCGGGTCATGATCTCAGGGTCCTGGGATCGAGCCCCGCATCGGGCTCTCTGCTCAGCAGGGAGCCTGCTTCCTCCTCTCTCTCTGCCTGCCTCTGCCTGCTTGTGATCTCTCTCTGTCAAATAAATAATAAATAAAATCTTTAAAAAAAAAAAAAAAAAGATTACCGAAACTTCATAACCAGTAAGCAATAACTCACCATTCCCTCCTTGTACCTCCTGGTAATCTTTTTTTTTTTTTTTTTAAAGATTTTTAATTTTATTTATTTGACAGAGATCACAAGTAGGCAGAGAGGCAGGCAGAGAGAGGAGGAAGCAGGCTCCCCGCTGAGCAGAAAGCCCGATGTGGGGCTCGATCCCAGGACTCTGGGATCATGACCTGCGCTGAAGGCAGAGGCTTTAACCCACTGAGCCACTCAGGCGCCCCCTTCCTGGTAATCTTTGATCTGCTTTATTAATTTGCTTTCTCTAGATATTCCGTGTAAGTGAAAAACATACAATGCTTGTCCATTTGCATTTGGTTTCTTTCACTTTGTATGTTTTCAAGATTCATGGTTTAGCATATATCAGAACTTCATACCTTTTTATGATTTATACATTTATAATGTCCCATTGTACGTACATAGCACATTTTACTTATCCATGCATCTGGACACTTGGGTTGTTTCCACCTTTTGGTTATCCTGTGTAGTGTCCCAGTGAAGATTTGCATACAGCATGAGACCTTATTTTCAAAGTTGAAGTGGATGCGGCGCCTGGGTGGCTCAGTCCGTCAAGCGTTTGCTTAAGGCTCAGGTCATGATCCCCGGATCCTGGGATCCAGCCCTGCACTGGGCTCCTTGCTCAGTGGGGAGCCTACTTTTCCCTCTCCTTCTGCTGTTCCCCCTGCTTGTGCTTGTGTGTGCTCTCTCTCAAATAAATAAATAAGATCTTTTTTTTTAAAAGATTTTATTTATTTATTTGACAGACAGAGATCACAAGTAGGCACAGAGGCAGGCAGAGAGAGAGGAGGAAGCAGGCCCCCTGCTGAGCAGAGAGCACGATGCGGGGCTCGATTCCAGGACCCTGAGATCATGACCTGAGCCGAAGGCAGAGGCTTAACCCACTGAGCCACTCAGGCGCCCCTAAATAAATAAAATCTTTAAAAAGAAGATTTATCAAACTAGAAGTCACCTTCTGAATGACATAGACATCGGCACACACACACATACATAAAATTCTGGGGGCGCCTGGGTGGCTCAGTTGGTTGGGTTTCGGCTCGGGTCGTGGTCCCAGGGTCCTGGGATCGAGCCCCGAATTGAGCCCTGCAGCAGGCTCCCTGCTCGGCAGGGAGTCTGCTTCTCCCTCTGCCCCTCCCACTCTCTCTCCATCTCTCTCTCTCTGTCAAATAAAAAATAATATCTTTAAAAAAGTTCTGGCTGAGGGGCGCCTTGCTGGCTCAGTCGATACAGTGTGCGCAACCCTTGAATTCAGGATTGTGAGTTGGAGCACCATGCTGGGTGTAGACATTAGGAAAAAAATAAGATCTTAAGAAAATAATTCTGGCTGAAACTGTGATCACTTAAAAAGATCCAGCGGCGGGGCACCTGGG